TGCTCCTTTTTCTTTTATCTAACGGGAACTCAAATAATGTGAAGACGGTTTCTAACTGGAACTGTCGGCAGCGAAGTCAAATCATTTCAAATGCAACTTGACTATGCTGAACCTAAAAAGGACGTGACTCAAATTTCTGGAGAAAACAGTGAACAGTGTCCCCTTTTATCACATTGCTTCTTCGACTTAGCAGATCATATATATCATCATTCATCTTGACATCTTAATAATGAAATGCAGTATGCCAGCCCAAGGAAAGAGGAAAACCCACAATGACCTCATCCTACAAACACGTATTGTCGATGTAACTAACACTTGAAATATCTTTTTTTCTTTGTGCCATCGGTCTCCATGGTTGTCTAAAACCCACCAATGAGGCTCACTGTTAAAAGAGGATACGCTGCACTGGCTGACATGTTGCTTCATTAAAGTTTGCACTTCGACTTGATTTGAGTCGATCCCACATCCACATTTAACTTGGCTGAATTGAGGAAAAAACATCAACCCATATCCCCGTAATGGGATGATTCAGATGTTTTGAAGTGGGTTTGTATGAGGAGGTACTTAACAATAGTCAGTGCATGGCGGTCGGTACGCCCCTGTTTAGAGAACAAATCAGAAGTACAGGAAGGGAGCAAAGCAATGTACTGCTTTAGCCACCTAAAAGAAAGTCAATATCAATTCAAGTGTATGTTATATACCGCTGCCTCGATTGTGTGACTTTTGTGTTTTAAAGGGTTAGTTCTGATTCACCAACAAATATATATATTAAAAAAAAGCTATCTTAGTTTCCATACTGTGGATAAGTACCTACAACTCCTCTTCAAAAAAATCTGAGCTGTCCCTTTAATATCAGCACAAGCGTGAAAGCCGGTTTGGTTGGATCTCCCTTTGACTCCTGGAAAGCATGGCTAGCAGCAAAACTGAAGACTAAATCAATAAACAATAACAACCTAAACAATACTTGCTTTGAATCAACCAGGAAATGATGGAAAACATAATGCTAAACACAAACAAACTCGGAATAGTAAGTGTTTGCGATCACACAGATAAACTGCTGCCCGAAAACCTTCGACAAGCATGGTTAGAAATACATAAAAGTGTAAATGGTACAAATGGTCAGGTCCCATCCACTTTGTCAAAACCAGCACCATACGTGTATTAATCCACAGTTGAGATTAGTCCTGTTTCACTTGTGTTTGCTGAAACTACAGTGCCCACACTGTAAGGAAAATATGTAGTCTTTAAAAAATGAATCAATAAATGTGTGAACCGTTTTAAAGACCGATGTCTTCTGTATGAACAAATGAGTGCCACAGGCCGGCTGGGAAGGTATTGAAACTAATTGTTTTGCTGACAATAAGAAAGGTATCATTTAAAACCTTTAACAAAGGCTTGCGAGGAAGGCCCACTGCATCTTTATTTTGGATAACAAGCAAAGCTACAAGCAGCAAGGTGGTCATTGGACAATCTCCCGTATGAGAGAAATGTATACGAGACATGATTACCTCTCCGACAGAAGAGTTGACTGAACCGGGCGGTCACTGTATTCTTATAAAACCCCTCTACTGCTCAAGATTAATCATCCACACACACAGACAAATCATCTGCAACAGGATGTGGGTGTTGCCACACAATGAGAAAGTGGCAGCGGTAAAACTTATGCCGGCATACCTTGATATACCGCAATGCTTTCTGGTCGTGCTCATTTGAGCAGTGAGTCATCCTCAGAGGGAGCAGATACAGTCAGTACTGAACAACAGTAAAGTCAATCAAAGCTGAATAACTTATTAACAATTACCTGTATCATTTGACATTTGTACTGGATGGCATGACCTTCATAAATAGACTTTAATTTTTCCACAAGTGCTCAGTCTGTGACACTCGTGTGTTTATGGCTGAAATCCAAATCACCATCATTTAAATTTTACTTTTAGGAGGTACTGCTGGATGCAGTTCTTCTTCATCATAACATTGCACCTTGAAACCTTTACCCTCTTGCCCATATATCCGCTGTGCAGAGGATTGTGGGCCAGAATAGCCAGAGAAGACTGCTGGCTTCAATACTGCAAAAACCGACCGGACACAGTAGGTCATACTGGTATTTTTGGCATACTGCATGTGACAGACTACGTATTGGTACATACTAAATCTTTCTCTTGCATGCTAAAAAGTATGTTAGTATAGGTTTTGGAACACATGTTTATATGTTTACTTCTCATCAAACCCTTCAGACTAATCAGCATGAATCAATGCAATCTCATATGTTTTTACCTCTTTAGAAATCTGGAGACTAACTGTTACTGAGAGACTAACCTGAGTGTTGGAACATGGCTGACTGCGGTGTCTGGTTACAGTGAGTCAGAAAGAAAAATCTGCTGGAATTTTCTGAAAACACAGAGCTGATGGCTCAGAGGACATCCCCCCCTGCTGATTTGGACAGCCCCCACACTCGGCAAGCCACAGTGAAATGTTCAGCACAAACTGCAGAAGAGTGATCTTGAATGATGTGGTTTGGTTTTCCATTTTGGTGGCATTGTTTACTGCTGTTCAGACCAGTCTTCAACACTTTGGGGGAAAAGCCGTTTTCATGCCCCGCTGTTTCTCTTTAAAAATGACAGAACTTGAAATAAGAAGTGGTCATGTTGGAAGACTGAGCACGTCAATGGTGCTTCTTGTGTTGACTCGATCATGCTGAGGTCTATCGTGGTGGGGAGGTTTGCAGCTGATATTTTGGGTTTTCTCCAACGCAAGACACCTCGTTGCACACCCAGACAATTACTGAGGCGATGAGGACGGACTCGATTGAGGTCATACTGGTATGCGTTAGGCTCCAGACTTTCAAATAAGAAAATGCAAGAATTGAACATACAAGAAGATCACACAATCTGACATATGAGCACACGTAACATTTAGCATAACATGTTAGCATTACCATCAAAGTACAGGTGTGGCTCATTGGTTTTAAGGCCAACATAAACTCTCTCTGAAGTGTTGTTTGGACTGATGGATCAAAGGACTAACCAATAGGGACGGACCATGCGGAGCATCCATAATTCATCCATATGAGCAGATGTTTTGCTTTCACAAAATGGTCAATGCACCGCCAAACAAATGTAAAAATCTCTCAATACTTTAAAAAATGAAGTACGAAATTAAGAGGCGTCAAAGAATTGTGCATCGCCTTTGACCAACGATGACCCTTTAAGGAACTTAGCTAATTCAAAAAATCTTGAAAAGCCAGAATGCAACACATCATCTAGCCGGCGGCTAGCAGCTAGCAGTGCAAACAACGGAAACAGCAACACGACTGAGCTAACAGCGTTAGCCTTCCACGACAGCCAGCAACATGTGTCAATTTTTGCTCAATACATGCATAGTGTATTTTCAAAATACACTTCTGTCTTCACAGGAAACTCAGTTATAGGCTTAGGCAACAAAACCACTTAGTTTAGGATCGTTCAAGATTATGTGGATAACATACGGAAATATTTGGTGGGCTATCTACGAATTAGGGCTCATTATTTTTTTAGTAGGTATTGCTAAGAACGCTGGATTAGACCAGCCCGCTCCACTATATCTTTAGCAATTAGTCGTTTTCTGCTATATTAATGCTCTGAATCCCAAAGTTTGCAAACATACAATTTGGTGACATTCTTTAAACACTGACATTAGGTTAGTATGACCAATCAGAAATGTCACTGTGGGCACATGTGTTACAGAGGGGAGGAGTTACAGATGCAAAATGTACTGTTGGGCATTCAGATTCAGCTAAAATCATTTTCCCATTGACATGGGAGAAGTCTTCCATCTGAAGAGAAATAGGATCCACAAGTTCTTATGCTGAGCAACAGAGCATTGTAGATTGAGAGCAACTTTGGAGGATGTCAATAATGTTTTAAGGTGCAAACGGGTTAATTTATCACTAAATTACCATATTAAATAAACATTTCTAATTACATATATTATACCTCTCATTTATTTCAGATTTTATTTTCAATTCAGTTAAAAAAAAAAAAAAATAAAAAAAAATAAGTTTCTGATTAATCAAATTTCTATAAGCTATAGAACAGGGGCGTCGTTAGGCCTATTTTAGGGGGGCTGAAAACCCCCTCAAATGTTCTTCAGCCCGCCCAAATAATTTGGCATTATTGGCTTAAAAAAAGAAAAAAAGAAGAAAAAAAAACATATATTTATTTTGGTGATGTCATTAAATTAAACTATTGTTTCTCACATGGACAAGTTATTTATAACTCTAACATGCTACATATGTGCGTGCGTTCTGGTTTGTATGTTTTCTCCCCCTTCAAATTACAATCCAATAGCCATCATCATACTTGACAATATAAAGTTGACACTGTCAGGTCCATTCTCCATCCATTGTGTGCGGTCCCTTTAAGAATTAGGATTTGGGAGAGACGCGGATATTCTTTGTTTGAGAAAAGTTCATATTTGTGTTGTCAAATTTCACTATGACCCTCAAATTCTGTCTCTTGCGTTATCGTATACTGAATGCAAGTAAACCTACAGAGCAAAATCCCACTCTTTCTGATTGAACCAATCTATGAACTGTCTGAAACAATGGATATCCACGGCCCCAAAAAAAAATGCTGTGCGCAAACATGCCACTCCCCTTGGGGCTAAGCCCCCCCTTTCTTTGAATCCTAGAAACGCCCCTGCTATAGAATTTACTTTTTTTAAATCACTCACCATATTTATTAGTTTTTTTTAATGCAACTCCTCATGCAATGTCTGCTGTATAGGCTATACTATTAGGCTTAACCAGCTGCATCAACGTACTGTTCTGCAGCCAATGTGTAGATGATCATGCGCATCAATGTGCAGTAACAAGAACGATAAATAAAGTAGGGCAAATGATCCGAAGTGACTCATCTCGCTGTCACTTGTTGCTTTGATCGTGACCACACATGGTGTCTTGGACTTCCGCTCTCCAAAGTGAACTTGCCGATCCACACATATTAAACTAAACAGCACGAGAACACAACACGATTGGCTGCACGCATTCGGTATAATGTGCGCGCGGGGCCAGCAGCTCTGCTCTCTCTTCAGCACCGCTGATTGTGATTGACAGGTAAGCGCAGCCTTCTCTGGGCAAACACGTAACATCCACACACACACACTTGTTGATATTTAATTATTTTGAGTATTATACGCCAAACAGTGTGTGTGTGTGTTGTAGAATTACAAGAAGCTCTCTCAAAGTCCATCCTGTCCGCCAAATCGTCCCACAAGTGTCCTCATTTGTATTCAGGTCAGTGCAGCGAGTTTAAGTGCAACAGTCTTACCGTCAGCTTTGACTTGGTTTGTGAGAGACAAGACATTAAATGCTATTAATCAACACTAACATTTGGTAAACTGTTATCTGGTTACAATTAACAGGACTTTTTGGCTATAATTTCCAATGCTTTATTCTCGTGTTTTCTGTTCACCGAAAATAAAGATTGTTCCTTTCCGCAATGCAAAATGCTCCACCACGTTAAAATCCGGCAGAAAAAGTTTATCCAAATAGCCTAAAATGTACTTCAAACATAAAATGTACGTTCAAGTGTAATGCGAAATGTACTTTTTGTTGTTGTAAAAAACAACAACAACAACTTTATATTGCAGTTCCATGGCCACCTCGAGGAGCCCCGACGGTCACGGGGCAGCTGCTCCGTGCCAGCCCTCCTCTTCCGCCTCCTCCTCCTCCTCAGTCGAGAGCGGGGGCTACGTGGAGCCCGATCCGGACCCGGGACTCCTCTTCCCGGTGACACGGTCCTCCCTGCTGACTCACCGTCTCCTGCGTTTGCGGGCCAACGCGAGCGGTCCCGCGGCACGCCGCAAGAGGGAGATGATCCCCCCGGACAAGAAGGATTCCGCCTACTGGGACAAGCGACTCAAGAACAACGTGGCGGCCAAGCGGTCCAGGGAGAAGAGGAGGCTGAGCGACCTGATGCTGGAGGGTCAGCTGCTGGTTCTGAGCGAGGAGAACGCGCAGCTGCGCGCGCAGGTGCTCAGCATGCAGTATCGAGGCGACCTGAGGGCAGAAAGGAGCAAAGCGGCCTCCGCACCGGGTTCTACTTTGCCCCCATCACCTCGACCGGTTCACTCCCCTGCCCTCTTCCAGCCACGACTCTGGGGCCACAGCAGTGGCGGTGGCCTGGCTTCATTCCTGGGCGTGAGGCAACAAGAAACAGCCATCCACCCGTTTCAGGCCAAGATGCCTTGCTTGAGCTCACCAAGAGGCGTTGGTGGTTTTACTCCACACGGTTATCACAACTGTGGCACGCAGCGAGGCATCACCCCCTGCGGCCTCTCTCCCGGAGCTGCGTTGGAGGCTGGGAGGTCAGCAGAGATGGAGGCTCAGCGACAGGTCTCCTCCAGCGACGACATCCACAACCCCGCCGAGGCATTCACATCCACGCCTGACGCACTCCGCCACTCGTCAATCCTGTCACACAGGAACTGGCTGGTGCCCCATCTCAATCACTCGGCAGTGATGTACAATAACTTTCTGCTGCCTTGGCGGTCGTCCTATCTGGCCCCACCGGCCGTCTACCCGGACCTGCCTCTCTACATACGTGAGAAACCAGGCCAGGGTCTCGGCGTGGAGGCGGACACTCTGTTCAAGAGCCGTGCACCGGCGGGGCTACACCTCAGTGCTGATGGACGCTGACAAAACAAAGCCTATACTGTGCATTTGATGTCTTATAAAAATGTAATTACAGCTGTGGATTATTTAAAAAACAGCCAATTAATACAAAAGAGCCTTTATAATTTGACAACAAGGGTTTAAAAAGTTCAATATTGTTCAATGACTGGGTCATATTTGCTCAGATTACAGCGGGCTCAAGCTGTACCGTAATATACAGAATATTCTAATGCAGCCCACTGTGTGGATTTGCTATCTGCTTTCTGTGGTTTCAAACGTGTTTCTATTTTCTTCTATCAGCGGTTACATTGCATGCACAGACCAGTGCTTTAGAATAACTCTGTAAACTTTGTTAGCAATATAATAATGCAGCCAGTTTCAAATATTTCATTAAGTACACTTTGATTCATGAAAGTAATAACGACTGACGATTAAAAACGTCATTCCAGGTCTTTTTTGTTCTGAATATATTAGAGGCATATTGGGTAGATTGTGGTGGGGTTAAGATTCATAATTTGTGATTTCTTTTTTTTTTATACTGTTTATCTGCGGTGAACAACTTCGCCAGCGAAACTGAGTGCGTGGCATTTCCCTTTATCCGCACTGCGTGATTTCCCAGCAGCCTGTGATTCAATGGAAAAACAAACGTTGAACCGCTCATTTGTAGGCTTGCAGCTCTGTAGCACCGTCCTCTGTTGCAAGAGGGGACGCAGTTCTTTTGTGCTTTAATTTTTGTTTAAGTCTGGATATCAATACAATGACTAAATGCTTGCAAAATGACTGCATGTGCACGTCTGTATTGCCAAATACATGATTACATTATTTTTTTCACCTTTAATGAAATTGTCAACAGTTTATGTCATAGATCTGCAAAATGTTTCTTCAGCAAAGGTTGGAGAAATAAAAGACTGATTGATATTTTAAAGATCAGCAGGTCCTAAAATGGCATTTGGGGGGGGGGGGAAGAATCCCAAAGTTTAAAAAAAGTTATATGATGATCCAAAATATAGTAATCTCCTACCTATGTATTGTTTATTTCTGGTAATTCAGGCCTATATTACGCATAGGAGGCTGCAGCAAGATTGGTGCAAATGACGGCAACACTGTGGTGGAAGCGTCTAAGCTTTTATTCCATTGCATGCACTGCAGGGAAAATCCATCCATTGAAAGTCTATTCACTCAAACCGTCTCTCTCAAATAAACTTGAATAAAACTGTACTAGCAGGCAGGTGGATTTTCACAAGCCAATCATCTTGAGCCTGCTTCAAAAAAGTTTCACTTTTCATGAAAGTTTTTATAAAGTAGGCTAAAGATATGCTTCATATATGGTGCTTTGGCTGTGTTTATTGCTGTGGTGACAAAAGAGTTGTCTTAAACGTTTTCATTCCTCCTGGTTGTCATGTCACCTCTGAACCATATTCTGTAATGGCTTCGTAACAGGTGGTCCCGATGTTCCCGAGGCCACCAGCAGAGGGCGCCACAACACAACATTGGTGGAGACTCAAACCAGAGGGCTATTGTTTCCTAAAAATATAGTTGTCATTTCTGCCTCTCCCATATCTATGTATGTTGTTATTGTGGGGCAAGATGCCAACATGCTATTATTAAGAGGTGAATAAAGTAAACACTGGAAAACATAAGTTTGAACAAAATGAAATAAAGTGAAGAGGTAGCACATCCTGGATTTTTATTCAGTAACAAAGGCAGAGTTAAAACAAGTTGGTGTCGAATCCAATCATTTTTTGAACAATTTGTATTTAATATCATCTGTTGCACTGATGACAACGTTTGAACCTTCAAGAAGTACTACCCTGAGCACTTATTGTATTCATATTAGTTTGTTGCACTTATTGTATTTGTATTAGTTTGTTTCTGTACTTTTGCTCTGGTTTATGCTCTTATGATGCACTTGTGACTTCTGGTGACTAGTAGTTCTCTTGAATACCTATGTTGAATACACAAGTCGCTTTGGATAAAAGCGACTGCTAAATGACTAATGTAAGGAATATTTCTAACCTCGTTAGGTTTTGTACACAATCGTTTGTAAAATAACAGACCTTTAACTTGTTTTCCCAAACTAAAATCAATTGAATGTGTTTTGCTGATGTAGGAACTTTGCAACAGGAGATAAGGAATGTGAGGAAGATTTAGGAAATTTTTTTGAAAATTTAGAAAATAAAAAAATTTGGACCTCTATTTTCTTCTAACATTAATACTTTAAGCGCATCATAACAGGAAGCAAACAGCTTACTGGTCTACATGTGACAATGTCTATACATAGAAACGGGGGTTGAGGTAAAAGTATCCTAAAATGCCAAGACAATTTTCTTTAATATACAAGAAGTGGTTCTATGGTGCGTTTTAAAAAGCAGATCAGTGAGAAGATATCAAATGTAGACAGTTAGTTGCAACTTTGACATCTCCGCTGATAAGTGACAAACACTTCTCTTTTTTTTCTGTGAATCTGAGGTGCCAAAGATTTATTTAACATGTACAGAACAAATGATCAGACTGTCACTTCACTTTACTCGTCTCAGTTACGCTTCACCGTAAATATCTGAAAGACGCATAACTCTAAACGCTATTTTTTCCCCGGGTGTTGAGGCTTAGTCTCTTGTACTGCTGCTAAGTTTAAGTTGTTTCTGGAGAGAAGCATCAAGTAAGCACCGGACATGTAAACATGCGTGTTTAAAACGTGTCATTGAAACCAAAACACGTCATAATGCAGCGACGGTACAGAAACACACTGCAGAGACAAAACAAAATGCGTGGATTTACTTCATTAAATAATGGTGTATTACTATACTCTGGGGGTGTTAAATGCACATCCTTCTGTAATTTTAGCATTCAAAACGTGTCTGTTTGAAACTGACAGCATGGAACAGGTGAGAACCCTGTGTAGGAAAGCCTATGACACCACAACACTATCAAGATCAAGGGGGCCAGTCAGACACTTTGCATGTGACAACAGAGACAGCAAAGAAGGAGATCGGACTGAGAGCAACAAGACATGATGAGCCCCCCTCTGCTCGTATGTGCATCAATCTCATGACGCCCGTCTCAAAGGAGAGTTCACTGCTCTGAGTTGTGTGTTTATCGCCGGGTGAGAGAGAGATAACGCTGAATTAGGTCGCGGACTTTCTGCACACTCCAGTTGAAGGTAAGGCCTCCAGTTCATTTTCACATTTAGAGCGGTTTGGACCATGTATGTAAACGGGCACCAGATAAAAGGGAGGAAATGGTTTAGCCGTTAGTGACCAAAGAGTAGGCGGTTTTTTTAATACACATACTACCATTCTCTTGTGCTGATCGCACTACAACTCAATGTTGTGTGCTGTAAAATCGGTGGTCAACTCGCTAAAGTTTTAGTCAACGTCAAACATTTTTCATGTTGCCAAAATACAGGAATAAGAGACCAGGCTTTTCAGTTTTTAATACAGAGGTTATCAAAACAAAATCAATCAATTCAGAACAGATTAGCAGAACGTGTTACTCTATATTATCTGTTAAGTATGAGTTTGAGGAAGAGGAAGTGTTAGTACCTTGTAAATATCAAGATAACTTAGAAGACAGTTTTGGACATGGTGAGTTCATATTGCAAAAGTCCTTCAAGTCAAATATTGATAATGTTTTTATAAATTGGCCAAAGCTGTAACTAAAGTAACTAAACTTGTGAAACCAATTAGAACAGTGTGATTCTAATGGTCATTATTGATCTTTTGGGATTAAATCCCTGTATAGCTTGATGATACCAGAAGTAGCCCCTAACACAAAAGTCTGTCATGCAAACTGTAATATTAATATTTAATCATGGGGGAATTTTTACACTACAAAAGTAGAATGATGTTCTTTAGTGTAACAGGTCTGCAAAAAATCCTTCAGAAAGATGATAGTGTCAACTTTTTAATCATACACGAGTTACCATAAACAAGGATTTTTGCACATACAAACAATATTTAACACAAATATATACAAATCACAATTTAAATTTTTTTTTAAAAATTCATTAAATAATTAATAACAAATCACCATTTAAATAAATTAAATTAAATTAAAAAATATATATTAAAAAAAATTAAAAATGACGGTCTTCTTAGCTGCAGCTTAACCTGCAAATATTGTCCAAGTCAAGTTCAAGGCCCTCGAGGTCACGATTCCGTGCTATTGTATTGTAGATATGCGTTTCTACTGTTTTGGTCACTCAGTATGAATTATTATGAAAGATATTTTATTTTACAGGATATTTTTTGGTCCTGGTTGCACAACACACGTGTACAAAGATTGAGATGGGCTGCAAACACCACATGAGAAACTGTGATTCTCTGTTTATCGGCTGCAGCAGCCTCGTGTATTCAAACTGAGAAACAGAGGTCCTCCTTCTTAACTCTATGAGAGTAATTTCACTATTTCAAGGAATGCGGCTTACTTGAAATTGCACAACCCGTCTCACACCGTCTGACAGGTACGTTCATATCTAGAGCTTTCAATACATCACATCTATGGTTTGAAGTGCAATCCAGTTTCCAAAAAACAAAGTAAACATGTAACTATATAGATTATTGGGGAATATCCCTTTAAAGCATCATACTGTATAGAATGGTAAAACACTCGCCCATGCCTTTAATGCATTATAAACATACTTATAATTAGTTATTATTTGATTATAGCAGTGTATAATTATAGTTTAAAGCACTCATAATGCTTTATAACAAAAATCATAACACATTATACAGCATTTTTTGTAAAGTAGGTCAAGACAAGGTTATCAGAGATGAGCTGGTAACCAAAGATTCTTGGAAATAAGTCATCATTAAAAATGACTCAGACCAAACTAACCAATTAGTCAACTAATCAGACTAAAGGAATGAGGCCCTACTAGATGAAATTATTCATTTTTACCACTGAGAGCAACTTATAACATATTATTATAATGTATAATAAAAGAATATGGGAACTATAATACACAAACAAATATCAGTGAGTTACCAGCAAGTATAAAGTATTTTAATACTTGACTTTATAGTCATTTTCAAATGCTTTATAATGTGTTTTGATTACTGTTATTATGCCTTATGAATATGAATGAGCCCTAGAACTTTAAGCTGTTTATAATGCATTATAGACATAGGTGCCATAGAAAGTGTTAAACATTTTTTTCAATTTGTTTCCTCTTTTCCTGATGCCATAAATACTTAGATCTCAGTTTAATTTCCATCTTTAGTAATCAGTTTTAAAAAAGTGAATTCTGTGGTTTTGTGGGGCTTTCCATTTAAAAACACATATAAGATGGTGCTGTGAGTTAAAAGCGCTGCCCATCAAGGAATTCATCCGTTAACGGACAATTCAAGCCAAGAACAGTGGCAAATTATTTTATTCCCCCAAGAGAGCATTCATTCACTCAAATTTCCACAGTGGCAGTTTACGAAAAAAACATGCGAGGTGGAAAGCCACAAAGTACGGACTGACCAGTTTCTCTACAGTAGAGGAGGTATAGTTATTTTAACAATAGCTGCCAGGGTGCACAGCAACACAACAGCAGATGGTAGAGTAAGAGAAAACGGATAGAAGAAAAAAAGAAGAAGTTCGAGAGTTCCTTACTAAAAAGCAGGCTGGCTATAATTAGTCAATAAGAAACAGGTGCAAATGTGCAGCAGAGTAGTGAGCACAGCGGGCTCGGCCTCAAGAGAGATTTCACTCAGGAACCCTCCCTTTTTTTCATATGCTCTCTGTCTCCCTGTGTGATTATTGTGTTCCGTCTTCCTGCTGTTGCTTTTTTTGGGTTTGCTAGCACAGAGCATGCAACGCTTAGTAGTCTTTGTGTCTCACACACACACACACACACACACACACACACACACACACACGTATGCAGGCGTGCGTGTTCTCACACAACAAACAAACACACCGGGGCTTCGGCTCTACGTTCTCACTGGGCACAGGCTTGAATATTTATAACCTGATGTGCGCTCTCACCACCGCACACAGGGCTCATGGCCTCTTTGCAACTTTTGTTTTGATGCCTCTGGTTCTGCCTGACTGGCACAAGACTAGATTGGTTTAGTGAATATGCTGAGAAGTTGGTCGTAGTGTGACAGAAATAAAAATGAGAACTGACTAACTAAACAAGACACTGCATGATCATTTTAGAGGTAATAGACTGTGAAGTTATGGTTTCTGCTTCGGTTCCTCTTGTGTGAAATCCAGAGTGAACTTTTATAAAAAAGGTGTCGCACTTAGCTGCAAGCATGTATGATGTCCGATTAGAAATGGACTTGTCTGCTATGGTGTTTGTTCACAAGAATAAGGTGCGGGGGAAACATCAATGAGTTGAAAGGCGTGTGTCAGCGTGATGTGTGCGCACCAGTCTGTGTGGGTATATGATTGCACGCACAGTGGCTGTGGTTTCAACACAATGTTCATCTTTCTCGCACAGCTTCCCATTAAACCACTCACAAACCCACGCGACTGAAAGACTCTATAGTAAAAGCCGACAGCATTCCTCAGACTGGTTATCAAAAATATCTTCCTGTTCGATTTTACCTTCGGCCTTATGCAAACAAATGGACAAGCCCTTTACTCTCTGCCTCTTCTTCCCCCGCAATGAAGAAGAGTTGTATGATGCAAGTAGATAAAAGAGATGAAGAAGAGACGGAGCTGGTCCATCAGAGAGGAAGATGGGGGAGATAGAGTGAGAAACAAAGCATTGTCAGACTCAAACTCCAATAAAGAATGGGCTTGATGGTGAATAGCTACAGTATATCATTTCCTCTACAAAAGACCTAAACATTCTGTAATATCAAGGAATGTATTCATTTCCACAAATAATTTTTTATATACTTTGCAAAAACAGGGACAGCGAAGTCACTGTTATGGATGAGACTAATCAGTCCAAATTGAGCTCTCAGCAGCCTGTGGTGCAGATCAGTGCAGTAGCTGCTGTTTGAAACAAAGACGAACTATAGGTTTGATTTTTGCTGCATGAATTCACGGCTGTAAACAACTGTATATAACAGCATATTGATTATCAAACGCATTCTTCCATGTCTGCTACTTTCCCCCAGTCACATGTTCCCACGTGGTCTAGACAGGTAGGTGAGCCGAGGTCAGAAAGGGGGTTTGAGCGCTGGAGGTGCTAGACAGAGTTAATAGGTGCAACCGAGTAGTGGCCTCCACAGCTTTTCGGAGAGAAAAGAAGCGGCGCCTTATACCCCGTTACTGGTTTTGTGGTAGACTGGCGTCCTTTGGTGCTTTACATGGCAAACATAAGTGGGTGTAAAATCACAAATCAGGGTACATATTCTAAATACTCCGATAATCTAAGATACTATATTCAGCATTTCGTTTTTTTTCAATGCCATTCCAAACCAACTCAGTTGCAGTATTTGTATTGTTGCGGTTACACGGAATAAACTTCAACGTGACCCACAGCAGACAGATGTGGATATCAGGTGTAGATTGTCAGCGGTCTCACAGACTCCAGTTGCCACCGCATTCAGAAACACTATAGAGCTTTCATCGAAGACAAACCAAGATAAGATGAGGTAAAACTCAAATCAGATAAGCCGTTACACAATAAAGAAGCAACTGTATTACTCAACCTCCCACACAAGACTAAAACCTCTCCTCCTCTTGATTTCAGGTCTCTGTTATTCATTATTGCTCTACCATGGAGTCCTCGTCATCACCTTTTCACGGAGGCCAAGACGACCACATTTTACAAGTGGAAGAGGAACTGGTGCGTAGGGGCCACCGACGCAAAAGGGAGTTCATACCCGAGGAGAAGAAGGACGCCCTCTACTGGGAGAAACGCCTCAAGAACAACGAGGCGGCCAAGCGGTCCCGGGAGAAGAGGAGGATGAACGACTACGTGCTGGAGACTCATCTCACCGCCCTGAAAGAAGAAAACAGCCGGCTTAGCACCGAGTTAATGGCCATCAAGTTGCGCTTCGGCCTGGTCCACACTGCGGCCTACACTGCCCACCAGAGTAACCAGCCGCAGCACCACGTCCACAGCAGCACCCAGCCTATCACTGCCACTGGCACATACCACCCGTCCCTGCAGAGGGACTACTACTGGGGTGGCAGAGACTCTTCCGTCATGCCAAGACACCAACCTCCTCTCCCCGTCTTCATCCCCGCGTACGCCCTCCACACCATGAGAAGCTATTCGTATTTGAACACGTCCGGTAGTGCCGGGTCTGCTCTCCTCGCTCCCCTTATCCTCCCTCAAAATCTGCCCACCTATTCATCCCTTCCTGGAGCTCCCCTGCTGAAGCCCATTCCTACCAGAGCGGCCTCAGATGAGGAGGAGCAGCAGGTCCCGGGGGTGTCGTCCCCGTCCTTCCCTGCTCCACCTCGCAAAATCACCTCAAGAGGACACAGAAACTACTCTCCACCAAGACAATACATGTCCGACTGACTGAAGGTGTGTATCTAGTGTACAGATTGATTGACTAAAAAAACAAATTCTTCATTTCGCTTCAAATATCCCGGCTGAAGTTGTAACTTTAACAGCTCTATTTGTGTGAATTAACAGTGCTTGCGTGTTGATTTCAAAGAAGCACAATTTAAAAGTGTACACACTCTACATTTGCCATGTCGCTCACTTATCTGAATGTTAGGGCTGCAGTCCAGAGTAGAAGAGTAATGACATTTTGCAGGCGGGCAAGATGAAAATGCACTGAATAAAGCACTCCCATAAAAAAAGTTAATGGTGTTTCAATAGATTCCATTCATGTACAAGTTCACAGCACGCTTTGCTGTGTGTGTCTGAAGCTACTTCAGTTCTCCTCTGTGTGTTTGATTTGATGTCAAAGTAATTGGTGCTAATGTACATCTGTTAACCATTAGTTGCAGTCTGGACTACATTATTTGGATTCACGCGTTACCCTCCGTTTTTCATACACGAAATGCAGTTGAAAACATGTATTGCTCCAGATGAAATCTTTTTATTTTGTTTATTTAAAGAGATAAACCTGCAGACAATAAAAAAAAGACAACATGGGGTTTAACCCCTGACTGGCTCCAGATGGAAACAGAGAAGTATGATGATGTATTTCTTTTCCTGTGTAGGCAGAAATAGTCACCTCCCTCTGTACTGTGGCCACAGTGTGTTTGAATCATCTAATATTCCAATAACCTTGGGGGCAACATTGTGTTGAATACATATATCACATTAAAAAAAAGATTAAAACAAATCAATCTTTAAGTTTGTCATTCTTTTTTTTAACATACATAGTAGTCCTCTCTTCATTCATAACCCAGACACCAAGATGAGAGTCAGTGACACTAACTGCTACAATGCTGTGAAGCCTTTGGGCAGACTGAAGGCCTGTGCATGCTCCAGAGACCAAGAGTAAAACCATTGCAGCAGGTACAGAGGCGGCAGCTTACTGCTCTCTTCTTTCTCCCATCTGTGGTTTCTTTCAGTGCGTTTGTGTGTCCGCAGCACCGCAGCCTGCGGCAGGTTACCGGCTCTTTGCTTAACAGCCCTGATGGCAACAGTGCTGCTGGCCGAGCAAACAGCCCGTCCCGCTGGCTCAAAGACAAACTCCAAACACACCGTCAAAGAAAACGGAGCCTTGGCCCATAACATTTTTGTTTATGGCCAGGAATGCAATAATTTATTAGCTGCTGTGGTCATGACGATCAAACACGGCAATTGAAGCAGCAATTAGTTAAAAGTGCCGTTAGGCAGATCCATGATATGCTGGAAACGAGGCCACATTTTATACTGTATATATATATATATATATATATATATATATATACACACTGTATATATATACACTGTACGAAGGATCATATAAATGTTTGACGAAAGTGCACATTAGATTTCCATGGTAGAATGCTGCCCGGACAAGACCTGAAGCATTCGTTAAGCGTTTGCACTAAGTGCAATTTGCCCCAGAGGGCTTAGTGGGATGACAGGAATGTTTTTTTTTATATATATGCATATATATACACATATATATATATGCAAATATATATATATATATCACACTCCGTCTGGCAACTTACAAACAAACCTCTATTTCACTCTTAAAACCTCTTTTGCATTCACTTTGGGTGAGACTCCATCAATTAGACCTTTCTTGTTGTGGAAAACATGCCACTGGCTACGTATCCATCTCACCCCCCAAAAATAAAGACTTTCAAGACTTTGTCCATCCAACCCTTTGACGAACTCTCAACGACTATCAAGCCGAATCGTTTTATAGCGATCAGTTAAACTTCTACCACTTCCTTCTTAATCCATCTCGCCAGTTGCCACTGTGTGCTATTCAGACAAAGCTCCACATCCAGCCCCTTCTCTCACACCACGAAGAATTGAATTTCTCTAGAATGCAGGTTGCTATATAAATGCTGTTTTGGCTGCATGAACCTTAATGGTGTTTCCAACCTGCTTTCTGTTGTCACCTGGTTCTATAAGTTACATTATAATAAATTCAAAATGTCACCAGAGGTGGAAAGAGTAGGCCTACCACAATATGTAAAGTAATGTTACTTCAATTACTTTAAAGAAATGGTAGTCGTGTAAAAGTTTGTCAGTGAGTACATTATAATAAAGGGGGGGTTGATGGTGTATGACAATGTTGTTAAAATAAAGAACATCTCTTGGCTACAGATTGCATTGAATGTCAAGTTATACACAAGTGGGACAACGTCAGCAGCAAGACCCCTTATGTCCAAACCATTATGCTGTTTGTGCATACAACTGGTTATTAATAATAAATACAAATATCTTCCTCGTGTAGCCTCAAAAGAATTAACCAGAGAAGTGACAAAACTCAATTAAGCACAAATCATGAGCGGGTGCAGCAGGTATTAGCAGCACAGGCTTACATTTAACAACCTTAGCTTGAAACTTCCCCAAAGCAGACAACGTGAGACAAGAATAAACAGGCTGCAGCTAAAGGACAGACTATTGTTGGAGAAGGAAGTGTTTGTTGACGTTCTCATCTGGAGAGTTCAAGCTAGTTCAGCAGTGTGTTGTTGTCGTACTCACCTGTATGAAAGACACAAAGAAGTCCTCCACAAACTGCTCCAGGTGCAACATCTCTACCCGACCAGTCCTCGGCCTCTCCGTCCCAGTATAACCAGTCCATCCTCTCTGGTCCCTCTATGTTCCTAAAATCCAAAACCTTTTGAGCTGAATGAAGCTCTAACGTCACACCAGGGTCTTAGCGTACTAGCTTGGTTCATTTGTAATTACGCAATATGCAACATTTTCCAATGCTAATGATAACCACGCTTCAATATGCGAGCCTTTAATTTGGTTGCATTGCTGGTCATATTTTGCACATAAGCGCTAGCCCGCGCGTGAACGCAATCAATTAACGTCGAATCGTTTCCGGGGTGTCTCCTCTCGCGAGCTCTGCCCACCTGCGGCCGCAGACACACCTGCAGCTGCAGCTGCTGATTTGTCTCCTTTCTTCTGCTCATCGGGACTTTTCCCTCACGTGGCATTTCATTTTTATTTTGTAACGGATGCGACGTGAATGCAGCAAAGAACAAATAGGCCCACATGTGATAAACAGCAGGCTACTTAGCCAAAGTCAAATTACTCAAAAACATAAAAATAGGCTTATACAAAAAAAAATAGTGACAGTAACAAGAGTAAATGTAAGTCTTGTGACTATGCACCATAACATAACTCGCCATTTCCATATCCCTGTGCAGTCATGGTAATATCTTATCCTGATTTCATATGCAAACTAAACCCCAGACAACATATGTTGACTTTTGACCATACTTTGTCTTATTTTGATTTCTTAATAATGAAATAACCAGCATGGTAAAATACTATTTACTCAAAGTGGATTTTAACACAGTCGAAATCTCTTTTGACATCTAAGTTCAGACAGACTCCCTATGGGCCCCATGATGTTTTAAATGAAACAGAATAATAATGTGAAGCCATGGCAGTGATCCAGTGTTGTTCCCCGAGATACTGGTATTCACTGACAGACATGAATATTAAAGATCTTAATGGTTATCTAATCTGCAGTTGGCTGATCTTTGCTGTTAGTAGGCTGCTACATGTTTTAACCTACTTTCAACCAAAAAGCTTCTTGGTTTCTGTTTATTCCGACTATTTTTACATGTCTTAAAACATGACGGGAGGAGATCTTTGTGATATTTCCTTTTGTGCATAAAGGCGAGTTAAAGATGTCATGGATTCCTGCATGTTGTGGCTTTGAAGAGCGAAAATGTATCCAGTCCAGATCAGTAATTGGATTTACATATTGTTCCATCTTTTTCAACCTCACCATCGTCAACACGTTGACGTGGCAGCTACAAGTTACCACTGAACCTTCTAAGTTGAAACTTATGACTCCCAAAGTTCCAAAACCAAAACTAAACTCTGGGTTATGGTGCTGAGCTCCAAATTCAAGAGATGATTTACATGACATTCAAGTCATTGTCGTGCCCCTGTTACATAATGAGACTTTGGTATGTCATCAGGTTTCAGCTGATGTAAAATACACAGTTAGAGTGTTTGAATGAATTATCACAGATTAAAAAACAAAACAGAAACTGCCTTTGAATGATGACCATTACATCCTGACGATGTGAATGCACAGATGTGTTCGTTGCCGGTGAATTGTTTGCTCGGCATCTGCTAAACCACAACAGTCCCATTTAGACCACCACGTTTCAACACCATGGTAACATAAAATGTGTGATTACTACTCACTAGCTCACTAGCACACCTACCCCCCCCCCCCCCCCACACACACACCCACACACACACACACACACACACACACACACACACAGAGTTACATCATTGCATTCAACCATCAATGTTCCCATTGCATAGCTGGAAATAGTTGTGGTGCTGCAGAAGTAGAGTGTCTGTGTGTTAAAGTGCATTCTGACATAATTTCCTCGCTCAGCCAAATGAAAGAGATACTTGAGGGGAAGGTTTCAGGTCTTTGTGCACTTTGCCGCTGCTGTTTACTACAAGTAGCCTACATGAGGTAAATTATGAAACAAATTAAAAGGTAACCCGGACTCGCCCGGTTGCTTGTAAAGTTGCCGTCTCACAGTGTGATGTTGTTGTCTGCTGCTCGGTCGATGACACATCTCTCAGTGGCTCATCTGAGATGTTGGTGACACATATTGATTCCTCTCCACAGTCATCTCTGAACTGAGAGCGAGTTTCAGGTGTATAACTTTGAAGAGTGTACTTACAAACTGGAAGACTCAATAATTCACAGTGATTTCTCGTGAAAAATAAATCCTGTCCCGATCAAATTCCATTCAAACAGAGTTTTGTTTGTTAATTGGACGGTGTCCATTTCAGTCTTCACAGGGAAGTACCATTTAAAAACAGCAACAGCATCATGCACATTACTGTACAATGCAGTATATCCATCATTAACTAAAGTGAAACATGGCACGAAGGGTTTCTTCTAAGTCGTGAGCAAAACAAAGCTGTGGGCACCAACTCACCGTCTTAGTTTGTATCTACATCAAAGCAGCTTTCAGGAGACTCTTGTTCATATGAGACACACTGTTTTCAGATATTGATTTCAAAATATGTCAGACATTCTGTAAGTGGTGAACGAGGGGAGACACAATCATAGAGAATCATAACAAGTGTAGTGCATGATACAATTAAGACACTAACGTCCTATCATGATATGACTTTGATTTTGGATCAAGTCGACTAGAAGTTCAATCAATTAATCCAGTTCGTTTTTTATATACAGAGCACATTTCAAACAAATCAAATGCAATTTAAAGTGCTTTACAAATGATTAACAAGACACAAATGCGAGGAAAACGGAGAGAAGGTGAAAAGACTAATGCGCACCAAATTAAGTTAAGGAAAAATAAAAATACACTAAATAAATTGATCTGGCTAAAACAGTAAAACATTAATAAAGATAAATTAAAGCAAAATAAGAAATAAAATATGTATAAATACTACAAACACATAAGACACTGTATCAAATCTGAGTTAATAATAAGCAATAATAATAAATTTTAAAAAACAGAATTTTAAAACAAAAGCCAGACTGAATAGATTGAGAATATCAATATTTTCTGCTCCTCTTAGATCATCTGGAAGGTGAAGATCTGAGTGACTCACTGCAAAGTCAAATGCTAACTTGAGAGATCAGAGGTGTAAGAACCATGCTGGTCTACAGAGGTGTTGGATTTAAAGAGAAAATTGCTGCGGTCAGATGAATCATTGTCGGGTGTGGGCTGGTGTAAGCGTGACGAACACTTGACCCCCACGGGGAGGTGGATCCACCCATCTCCTGAGAGAGAAGAGTCACTGCAGATCAGTGCACAGTCACTCGAGTGGTCACCTTCATCCTCTGATGAAGCTTTTCTGAGGTCTGATTCAGGGTGACTGCGTGAGTGTGTGTGTGTGTGTGTGTGTGTGTGTGTGTGTGTGTGTGTGTGTGTGTGTGTGTGTGTGTGTGTGTGTGTGTGTGTGTGTGTGTGTGTGTGTTGAGGGGGAGGTTTGATGAGTGTGATGAGTGTGATGAGTGAATAACAGGCTGTGGCTTTCAAGGCAAATAATTCAACCCTTACCGGAGAATTTGGATCGACTGTTGTTTTTTAAATAAAGGAAGATCTTTTGAAAGAATGATTTTCATCCCTCCAGCAGAGTTCCTGATGTGTGCCATTAAGGATCACTGGAGCTTTGTATCTTACAAAGATACTTTAGTAAACGTAGGACTTCATGGCCTGTTCAACTCAACTTTGTACAAAAGAAAATACTTTCAGGATCTCTATTCATGTTTTAATACTTATTTAAAATACCCTGTTTGGAATGATAGTTTGTGTCTGATATGTTTTTTCTACGTCTCCCTCATTGAAAAGCCCAGATTATATTAATATGCAAACTAATGTTAAATTTAAAGTTAAACTACAGGCCCGTGACTGTTCACCTTCTCTGTTTGTACACTGGAGGTTTAAGGTTTCTATCACACGTTGGTGTAAGATGTGATACATCATTCTGCACAGTGAATGTGTAACAAGTGAAGTAACAATGAGCAAAACACTTTTTTCGAGTGGAGGGGGACTTTTAAAAGTATGTAATTGGAACAGATTTAGATCAATTTCAGTGCACTGGGTCCTGGGTGTCTTCCTGTTGCTCTCTACTTCCTCCTGGAGGTGTTCCTGAAGTGCATGCCAGGTTTTATTTGTCTTTTCACCTGACCTGCTACCAGTCAGATTAGTACTGTATGAATTCACTTCACCTACTGAACGACAACGGGGCTTAGTTCAGTTATATAAGTTACACCGATCACATCGAATTCAGTCATTACAGCGTAACGATTCGAGGATCAAGAAACACATCAGAGCGTGAACGCCACACTATTGTTAATCTGCTCACAAATGTCATTTATTTCTGTAACTTGTGATGTGATGAATGCATATAAATGAACAATAATAACTCTGCTCATACAGTGTAAGCAGTACCTAGGCATATCATTAACTTGAGTGAATCATGACATCTTAATGCGTATAGTGTCGATGGGACATCCACTAAAAATTTAAATACGACAAAACCTTGGAAGAAAAACTGATTCAAAAAAACAAAAAAAAACTTGCAACACAAATTTTCACAGTGACGAGGTCACAGGTGTAATGTCGACGCTCAATCAACTTCTCAGACTTCCACCGTAGCTGTTAATCGACCAGATGACCGCTTTAAAAATAAATAAAAATAGGACAGGTCAAAGACATCATCATAGCAGATAACATAGCATGCTTTATAAACAGTGTGCTTCATTTTTTTTTTTATAAAACAATACAATACAAAAACGTCTAGCACAATTCCTAGACACAACTGTTTCCATATTTACATTTTTCAGTTAAGGACAATTAAAATGATGTTTACATTTCCAAAAATGCAGACAGGAACTGATGTCGAATCAGTCGCGGAACATAGTCACACTTCATTATTAATAATTCCATATTTAATCTGTAAAATGTGTTGTGCAGTGTATATGTGGATGAACACAAACACAAAATGAAGTAATATGAGAGTCCTCTTTATCCCCCCCAGGTCGTGTCATTTGAGTCATAATTAAAAATTTAAATTCACCTCCAACACAACTGGATCCAGATCAGCCCTCCACCACACATTCACAGTCGCAATGTGTTAGGGGAAACTGAATGAATTGCTTGCTAATAAGTCTCAAGGTTGGGGAGGTCAAATCTTATTGTACTCTAATAATTCATCGTGAATAATTCAGTACCATATCTAGCCAGCAGAGGGCATCAGAGTAACACTGCCAGAGCTGCAGCAGCTGAGTGGACAGGAAGAGTGTATCGCTTAATAACCCACAGATCAAGAGATGAGGTTAGAACAGTAGCAGCAGGTCACCTGTATTCTCACTCTCTCCAAATTATGTTTGAAGTTATGGAGGAAACTCGATTTATTTTATCGTATTGAAACTATCAGACTGACTTTGCAAGGCCCAACAATGACACATTTGCATTTACTTTACGTGCCGTGACTACAAATCAATGTTAAGGATCCAAAAGATTGAATTAGATTCTATTAAGTACAGATTGTATTGTATAGTATCAGTATATACTGTACTATATTGTGTATAAACAGCTTGAAATAACCTTTATACCCACTTCTACTTAACCCTTTACACAATGCAGTACAGTTTTCTTAGGAGGTGTGTATTGTTACAGGTTAACATGCGGCCCTTTGCATTATAGTGCCGATGTCTTCCTTGAATACTTTGACCGACTCCCTCTCCTCTCTGGCTCAGTTTCGTCCTGACCTTTGTTCCAGTCTGCAGGTTTTGTTATCACATTTGCATTTTTTTCCCCCCGTGCGTGTCTCAAACACACCGAGGTCCTGCGGTGAACCCGCTTAACTCCTCCCCCCCCGCTGGTCAGCCGAGCCTCAGCCAAAAATAGGCAAGTGAGCTGACCCCTGAACTAGACGCTCTTCAGGATTTGTTTTGTGAGCTCAGGGATCTGACGACATGATAAGGTGGACTGCATATCCATGATCTGAAAAAGAGACTTTAACCGTAGATATAACAGCAGAACAGAAGAATTGGATCGATCACTCAACAGCACTATAAACAACCACAAGGTTTTGATTACAAAATATATAATACATCTTAGACAGTATATATCCGACCTATACAGTATGAGCTATTCAACAGTGGGATGAATGCACCCCAACACATTTACAAATGATGTTATTCAAAGTAAGAAGCCAACTCTGTAAATGCGTTCATCTTTTACACACAGTCCTTCTCAGATCAAGAGTATATACGGAGTCTTGTACAGTTTGTTCTGGATAAACAACGGAGAACCTAAGAGCAAGTGTGTATCCGCATGTACTGGTTAGTCACACACAGATGTGCATTGAGTCCTTTTAATTGTATCTTTAATTGTATTTTAATTGTCCTGTTTTTCTTTTTGACCATCTTTTGGTGGTATCCAATGAGAAGAAACTTCTCTCTACCACATTACGTGGTGCTTTACGGTCAAATTGGCAGTGTTGCAGAGTCTCTTGGTGTCTTATTGTACTCTGTACAAAGCCACCATTAGCAAATAAAAAACAGCGCCTCTATGTCACACTAGTGCCCTAAGGTCCTGACTGTAAATAAGTCTAAATATGCAGTATATAGCTGGAACTATTCAAATACATATTGGCAAGTCCTTGGCATTCATTGAGCACCACCGGGCTGTAATATATTCCTGGGTTTGGGGATGAAGAGCGAAAACAACCTCAGGCGGAGCAGAGAGGTGAAGTCCTTTAAAGACGAGTTCCTTGTAGAGAAGAAGGACGGAACTGGCGAGAGATTTGTCGAGGTTAAAGACTGCTGGGACTGATTTCGTTGCTTGGTCTTTTAACATATTCGAGACATCTTTATACTTTCAAAACCAAGGTTCGCTCTGCATGGTAAGGTGAACACATAAATATATCAAATCCATGCAGATTTTTCCCTTTTCTCATACAGCAGTTTATAACAAAACATTGTCTCAATAAAATCTCCCATAAATAACTGCATTTCATGTTTTTGCAAGCACAAAGGTCCACGTCAGCGTCCTGTCCCTTGAGCTTGTAAACAGTATCAGGGTGAGAATACTAATGAGGGAAGTACAGATCCCAAAAATCAAATCATTTTCATGTTGAACTTGCGTGCCCCGCCCTGTCCTCCACTGGCAGCGGGTCCCTCCACCTTTCTGAAGGAATACTCCACTGAGAAATTGTTCTTGTGCTGCCCTCTCCCTCGACTCCACACAAACAGCAGAATGAAACAGAAGAGCACCACCCCCAGGAACATGATACAGCCCATGGCTGTGGATATGAGGATGGTCTTGAGGTCCAGAGTGAACTTCAAGAAGACTCTGGTGTCATTCAGATTCGTGTCATTAAGGTCCCCTGCGTAGTACGTGCGGTTGGCCATAAGGGCTGCATCTAGCGGCAGCCCACTAACTGTAAGTGTGGCAAAATAGGTGTCGTTTCCGCCAGCGTTGCTGGCTATGCAGATGTAGGTTCCACTGTCGGTTACCTGGGCGTACCGTATTTCTAATGTGCCCTCCGGTAACACAGTCAGGCGGCCGCTGCTCTTTGTGGTGATGCGGCGGCGCTGAGGCGAGATCCAGAATATCATCGGTGCCGGCTCACCTTCTGCTTTGCAAATGAATGACACAACCTGCCCCTCGCGGGCAGAAACCTGCTGCAGTTTCCTGTTGCGGATTTTGGGCTTCTGGCAAGTAAAGTGATCAAAGAGAGCCGAGTCAGAGAAAACGTTCAGAGCCCGTCCCTGCACCTCCACGGGCGTCATGCACACTGGGGAGGCGCCGTCAAAATTGAGGGTCTTGCGGCGCTGAAGGATCCAAAGCAAGCGGCAGTCGCAGGCCAGAGGGTTCCCGTCCAAACGCAGCGTCTCCAGAGTGTTGACAGACTGAAAGGCTCCCTCTTCCAGGGACACCAGGCCGTTAGTGGAGAAGTTAAGAAGGCTGATTTGCCTTAGACCACCCAGCGCATACGGCTGCACGACCACCAGATTTGTGTTGACCAGATGCAGCTCCTTCAGCCTAACGAGGTCCCGCAGGGCCCAGGACTCCAACACGGAGATAGGGTTGTAGGACAGGTTGAGGCTGGTGAGGTGAGCCAGACTGCGGAGGGCAGAGGTGGGCACAGAGGTGATGTTAGTGTGAGTAATAGACAGCCAAGATAAGTTGAGCCCCTGCAGGCTGTGAGGGGATATGTGCTCCAAAAAGGGCCAGTGATCGATCTCGAGGCCCCTCAGGTTTCCCAGCTTACGGAAGTTCTGGTCCTCTAAGGTGGAGATACTGAGGTAGCGGAGCCGCAGAACCACCAGGTTATGCAGGTAAGACAGAGACTGGCCGGACACAGAAGTCAGGTTGCACCTCTCAATGGTCAGCTCCCTCAGCCCCACCAGACCCAGAAAGGCCTTGTTGGAAATGTAAACTAAATCATTGTCTCCGACTTCCAGGTTTTTCAGATTTTTCAGGTCTTGGAAAGTAAAGTCCAAAAGAATGACAATCTTATTCCCACTGAGGTCCAGTGATGTTAGGTTGGAGAGACGGGAGAAAGCCCCCATGGGGACCAGTTTCAATTGGTTGCCCCTCAGTGAAAGCGACTGCAGGTTCTGGAGACTAGAAAAAGCATTCGGTTCCAGGACACTGACCATGTTCTCGCTCAGGTCCAGCCTTTCAAGACGTGAATATGGAAGCAGGTCACCATGCTCCACCCAGCGAAGTTTATTCCCGCTTAGGTCCAGGATCTTGGTGTCCAGCGGGATGCCATCTGGCAGTGCGGACAGGCGTTTACCATAACAGGACACAGTCTTGAGTTTTGCAATGCACTCACAACGCTGGGGACATCCTTGACTCTGGGCGGATGACACCGTGATCATCAGTAGCAAGAACAGGAAAGGCAGGAGCCAGCCCACATCCTGGCCCAGGCTCACCCCCATGGCCCTCCTTTCCACTGCTTCGTCCTGCTCCCGAATCACTGGGACAGAAACCTGAGGAAAGAGAAAGAATGGGGGAGGGGGCGGCCGGGAGGACAGACAGAATGATTGGGAAAGACAAAAGAGATAGACAGTGAGACAAATTAATTGAACCCAATTCCCCTAAAACAGCAGCTATCAAACACACAATGAGTGGAATTACTATTACAAACTCTAATTGACCCGACACAGCAGCAAAATTAAAGCTAGAGCTCCAAGATAATCCTCAAAGGAGCCTGTATTCACTTGAAACTAATTTACAATGGGCGACTGTGCCCTGCAAGCACTCAGGTTTTAAAATCATTTGCCAGCAGCACACACAAAGAAATCCCCTGAAAGCTATGTGTCAATTTTATATCTGATGGTTGTTTTGCTTCTCCAGTTATTTCATGCATTGTAAATGAAAACAGGGAAATTGAAAATCTATTGTATTCATAAGCCCTCATGTGAGACATCTTAAAATGCATGAAAAAGGAAAACAATCGCAGCCTCTCAAAAGCATAATATAGGACCGCAAAATGCACTGAAATGGTCCACTCGTACTGTGTGAGGAAGCAGAATATTAACTCTGTAGGAGAAAATACCAGGATGTTAACGGGCTGAATAAAATATGAAAGTGACACAGAACAATTCAAACCACACTGGATCGCATAGCACGGTATATGTAGTATTTGAGTAGGTGCCTGACAAGGTCACTCACTACGACTCAGTGCATCACAATAGCTCAGTCCATCACATCATCTGCATAAGTCTCTGAGGCATGAGGCTTATCATGAGAGGAGCCTGACCTGCCTATGGGTTTCATGTGACACAATGCGGTCACACACACAGACACACACAATTTCACCCCTCCGTCGGCTGGTGGATGTTGGCAGCAGTGGTAATCCCTTAGTAAACCCATTGTGAAATACCAACTAGCGAGATGGAAAGTTACTCCAGAAAACATCTTCCATAACATCGTCATTGTTGACTGGTGAGGCTGACGGTGTGCAAAAACATATTAAAAATAACTGGTTCACGCATCAGGAGTTCCCCCAACCTACAATATGTGCTGGTTATGTCACTAAAATTACATGAATAATGAGCTCAGGGCTACATTTGCCACTAAAACACGTAGCAACACTGGACACACACATCACAAGAAACTGTTTCCCTTCTTCTTCCTTTTTCTATCCATATATATCACCGTTTAAAATAAGGAGACGGTGTGTTACGATTTTAAATTCCCACCTGCTACGGTAACAGATGACTTCATAACTCATTTAATGTCCCTAACCTCTACACATGTTTTATTTTACAATTCACCCCGGCTCAGAGATGGATATTCCCATTAGCCAATCTGCCACTGAATGAAATTAACCGTCTGAAATGCGAGCAGAACCGTCTGATAGCAGACTTAAAATGAGCAGAGCTCTGTTAAAGACACAAGATATGAACATTTCAGATTTCTACCATTAGTCGTATCAAAAGAAAAAGATAGTGTGGTAGACGCAATGCATGCCGTCAACAACCCACACATGCATATAACTGTCAGACACAGCAGCCTGACACGAAACCCTTCACACACATTTTATGTCACGCTCTATGATCTAATAACACCACTAGAAACAGAGAAGAAACCTCTTTCTGCATCCAAAGGCAGTCCTTGGGGTTTGGCTCTTGCTTTATAATTGAAAAAAACATGGCAGCTCAGGCATTGCTAAAGTTTGTACTTTGACAATACATCATTGCACTTTTATAACCTTACAAAGTATAAAAATTGCTGCAGCAGAACCAGAGGTATCGTCTTTTTTATTTCACACATTCTTCTTCCTTGTGAAAACCAGGCGCCCACTTTACCCAGTGTCTGTCCATAGCTCAGTAATACAACTTTGAGCTGCTAGCTTCAACCAGAGATGAGGGGCAGTTTACAGACACCTGGAAATCTCACTTCTTTCATTTCTTTCTATTTTCAAACTTGTAGGCTTCAGCCCCAATGGACGTTGACTCAAGTGACATCACTTGAGGCAATTTATCAGACTTTCCCCGGCTCCGTCTGGAGCCAACCAAGGCTTTATACAACAATGCAGTATGTGGGGGAAAAAAGTCAGTTTACAAGACCTGGAAACTGACTTTGATGTGTAAAATCAGTTGCGTTACACTTTAGTATGTTAAACCGTAGTACACATATTGAGTATGTAGTACATAGTATGTCATTTCTAACGCAGCATGTGTGTGTGTGTGTCTTCTCTCATTAGGAAATAACAAATAATTACAATTTGTAGTGTTGTGCGAGACTGTAAATATTCTACAGCATTTGTCATAAAACTGCACATGCACTCTAAGACGCAGTGACGTCTGAAAGTTATTATACAAAGTTTTAAAACCCCATAAACAGCAGATGGGCAGCGACCGAAACAGTAACAACAAACGTCCCCCTCCCCCTCCTCCTCCTCCTCCTCCTCCGACCCCCAACCACCGCACCCACCCCACATCTTTTCCGAACCCATATCTGGTAGCAGACTCCCCTCACCAATAATCCCAGAGGCCCCCGGCCATCTTGATGCACCACAGGTCAACAGCAGCCCTGTGGGCGCCGGCGGCTCCACACAGGCTACTGTTACCTGGTAGTAAGCTGAAGTCAAAAATAAACCGTTGTAATCTTTCATTACGCAGCAGGAGAACAACCTTCAGCTGCTGCAGGTGACAGAGAGAGGAGCTGCTCCTCCTGAGAAGAATGACTGAACTGCTGCGTTTCCACTTAACTGGACATTTGGCAGTGCATATGCAGCAAAGTGAACATTGGGGGGTTAGCCACAGGATGCTCGTCGGGCCGAACTGCACCAGCTATGTCTTGCAGGCAGAATCGATACGCAGGTCTGACATAAACTGCAAAAGCTCGGATCGGCTTCGAAAGGACAATACTGTAGGTGTCTAATGTTGTCATGGAGACGCCTGCACCATCTCCCTTAAAATCCCCCCCTCTCCTCCCCCTTTTCCTGCTTCCTACTCTCTTCATAGTCTCTTATTTTCCAGACCAGACTGAAACACGCGTGTCCATTAGACTTTCCCGAATGTCTCTGGCCATCAGCCACCTGCCTGCACAGATGCTGCTCATTTGTTTGTCAGCTCTTCAGGAATACATCTGGGTCGCTGTTTTCACGTATATCACAGAGAGTTAATATTGCCTCGTTTCTGCAGTACCTGTTTTCTGTGCCTTCACTCTACCTGCTGGGTCTCCATGTCTGCATTGAGATCCACTGTCCTTTCATCTGCTCCAAAACAAAACCTGTGACAAAAGACAGATGGCTGTCGTCTGTAATAATCAAACAGATGCATTATATATGAAATCATTATTGTCAGTGTATACTGTGCACTCATCCAGTAGCATTAGGCAAAGAGGTCCGCTTTTTTTTTTTTATCTTATCATTTGGTTGCCAGGCAACATTTACTCGTCCAGTACTTTGTAATAGAAAAAGTGCCTGAAGTTATGTTCTATTCTGGAAGTGCCTCAATATTTATACACAATTGTTGATGTTTGTCTTTAACAGTTTGCTATGCCGAGCATCACAGCGGTCGACTCACATTGCTATGACTTAGTGAGGCCAAAAGGCTTAACAGAGACACTGCCAGCATCATCGGGTAGTTCTGCTGTGGCCTTCAAGTGCGTGAAAGTTTAACTGATAAAAAAAGTTACATGAACAGAATCAGATCGTAATGAGCGACGAGGCTGATTGGCCATTTTCACAGCAGACATTTTGACTTGTCATTGTAAGAATGAACATTAATGGCACCGCTCTATTCACGTAAGACACGACAGTGTGACAGTGAGCCAACATGCACAATACCAGGACCCTGATACCGAAGCAGCTATATGGAATTAATTTCATCATTCAGACCAGTGCTACAGTAACATGTCAAAATGGCAACCAAAAAAAAAAAACTCTCTAAATGTAACAGTTCTCAGACAGATATCTCTTCCCCCCCCCCCCAAAAAAAGAGGCCCAATGTAAGTGTGATGTTATTAAAATGACATGACTACATTAGAGCCAGAAACAAAAGCCTGCTGGCACATTGCAGACTCACGGGGCGTCCTCCAGAAGGAGACTCGCACCGGGCTGCCGTGACAGTGAAGGACGGAACTGAGCTCAGATCAAAGAAGACGGCTTCATACTGTTGTCGTCTGCTCTTGAGATGCTTGTATTGTGATACAAATTTAAGGCTGACACTTTTGCAACAAGGAACAAATTCACGTATAGCCTGAAGCATTCAAATACTTGAAAGGTTTCTGGCTTACAGGTGCAACGTGTAAGATCTGGTTCTTAGTTTAAAACATAAAAAAATGAACTGACATCATCAACAGAGTGTCAAGAGGTTACAGTGTCGTTGTTAGTCAAATATGTTTGTGTATAGTGTTGCAGAGACATCTACTATGACGAGCATGTTAACATGCTTTAGTGCCTCACAAGTGTCTTGCCACTCGTGAGACAGCTTCACATCTCTTTTTTTAATCACTCATGCGCACATGAATAAAGCACAGTGTCATAAATCATTTGACAAGATTACAAAATTCAGCACACGTCTGGGTAATGGCAGTGGTGTGCAGTGGTTGCCGTGGTATAAACAGTGAGCAGTCTTTAGTCACGGGCTGATGGAAACAACTGGGAATATGATGTTATTAAAAATGCATTAAAGAGAGGAGCTGTTGTTGATTGCCCATTTTTTCCATCATGTCACAAATAAATAGCGGCCGCTGACGCAAATTATGCAGATGATTTGTTGTTCATGTTGCTATCTTACTTCCTGAATGACCCGTCTCTTCTGGTTTAAATTGTAGCAGACCCAAAAGGACATTCCTGACCCTATCTTTAACCTCAGCCATTTCTGTATTCAACTTTAATTATTATTATCACACATGTATTTCAGAATTGATCAATGGCCACTTTTACAGCACAAACCAAGATGGTGGACGGTCTTTTAGGGTCCACCACTTTTCATAGTGCCGTCATCATGTCAAAATCTAAGTTAGTTGTTTA